AAAACATAAAAATGGTGTACTTTATTATTCGCAAATAAAATTCTGAATTGATCGTAAAAATTTATGTTTTAGATAAAGTATGTTATATAAATAAATTATAAAAGCTTCAAGTGGAAGTTTCATTAAAATAGTTACAGCCCTTTTGGCGCTACAGTCTAAAGCGAATCACGTTTTTTGCCTTATAATTCATTTTTTTTACGTCCACTTACCTATATATGAATTATATAGTAAGTTTTCCGATATACACATTTCTTATTCCTCTAAGTCCAAAGAATTAAGTCCCGCAAAATGTTCTGTGTGTCTATCAGTATGTGTTTGTCCACATGTGCCTCTTATTACAATCCATTTTAACATTTTTACGATTATCTCAAAAACCAAATGTTTTCATGAGAGGACAATTTCAAAGTAAATGTAAACTTTTAAAATTATTTATAAGCTCTACTAAACCAAAATAATATAATGCATCAAATTTCCAATCTGATGCATATTGGATATATATATATATATATATCCTGAGTCTGGCCAGAGACGGCAAGCAGTTCACTTCGTTCCTATAGTTTTTTCTCTCTAACATTCGTACCCTCTGTTATTTCTTCTTAATTTTTATATATATATGTTGTGTTTTTTTTTTTCATCACGGTCAAGCGAGTTTATTTACGTTCTTCATTTATTTATTTTTTTAGTCAATTATTAAAGATAAAGGTCGTGTTTCACTAGCTGTGGATTGAGAAGCGGCTATTAATCCTTCTAAGCTCTTGAGTATTAAGGACCAACAACACGCATCTATTGACAAACACTCTTCTAGCGTGAGTAAATATTATTATATTATCACGAAAATGGTTCAGTGCTCTATTTGTGATAGTGCCATCTCTAGAGATGACAAAACTAATATAAGCTGCAATAAATGTCAGGTTATCTTTCACGGTAAATGCTGCAAACTGGGTGATAAAGAGATCGAGACATTAAAATCTCAAAAAAAAGTATGGCTTTGTAAAAAATGTGACCAAGGCAAAAAGACATACCAAATTAGGGAAAAATCAGCCAGTCCACCAAGAAGTGAAATCAAGGAGCCGTCCGCAGCTGATATTCTCGGAGCGGTTAATCGACTTAGCGCCCAAGTCAATGAAGACATTAAAAATATTAAGTCGTCATTAGAAAAATACGGGGAACTCAGCTTCGAGTTAAATGAAAGGTTTTCAAAAATAGAAAATCATCTAGAGAGCCAAGCTAAACATCTGGAGGAATTGACTACGGAAAATAAAACGCTGAAATCCAGAGTGGGGGAACTCGAGGTACGATTAAACAGAGCCGAGCAGGGCCTACTCTGTAGATCGGTTGAGATCCGAGGCATTCCGGTACGTGCAGGAGAGACTCCTTCGGCCCTAGTTGCCAGTGTGGGAGCTGGTCTCGGTGTTAAGATTAACATCGAGGACATCGATTTTGTGGAGCGCCGTAGACCTAAAAAAGACGACCCTAGACCACCACCAGTTATAGCTCGCTTTGTGAGGCAGGCAGTACGAGACGAGCTGGTCCAAAGAAGAAAGGTCAAAAGGGACTTCTCAACTCGAGACATCGGCTGGCAGGAAAACGACTCCCACCGGATATACCTTGGTGAAGAAATGACCCCTGCTAATAGAAGATTGTATTGGCTCGCACGTCAGAAGAGAGCGGCTGGTAAACTAAAATACGTGTGGTTTTCGGCGGGTAGATTGCGCTGCAGAAAAGGAGATGGCCATCCCGTGATATACATCGACCAACCAGATGATCTAGATGTTTTCTGCTGACCTTCTGATTTACGTCAACCTACAGAATGCATCCGTAAACTTCCAATCTTCTATTGTATAATACAGCATCGTGCTGGGTTGCCCATCTACTACTATTGTTATTATTGTTTCTCTATTTTAACCAATGTAATTTTTTGTTTTTTCCTCTTTCATATTTTTGAACCTAACTCTATTTTGTTTGTATTTTTTTTCTTCTCTTACAGCCATTATTTACTTCTTTCCAAATTGATTTTCACAGTTTTTTCTTACCTACAGCGTCATCCATCATATGTATACTTTTCTCCTTTCCATTATGTCTAGCGTCTTAACTACTTGCCATGTTAATTCTCAATCCCTTCCTGCTCACTATGACGAATTTCTCCAATATTTCACCTGTAACTTCTACCACATTATTGCAGTCTCTGAAACATGGCTTAAGCCCTATATCCCTTCCTCTTCCGTTTCCTTACCTGATTATACCTTCATCCGTCATGACCGGGTTTCCCGGACTGGCGGAGGTGTTGGTCTCTATGTTCATAATAGCCTGAAACCCCGTATTCTAGATATTTCATCCCCTTCCAATCATCCTCACATTGAATTCCTCTTCGCTGAAATTTCTTGTAAAGCACATCCTCTCCTTTATGTGGTCGTATATCGCCCTCCTTTGACTCCTTTTGACTCATCCTTCGAATCAACCTTGTACAATTATATCCCTTTCTATAATAACATCATAATTTCCGGTGATCTTAATACCAACCTCCTCACAGAATCCAACAACAAACGCTATTTGGAAAATCTCTTCTTCTCCCTCAACCTTTTTATTGTTCCTTTCGCTCCTACACACCATACTTGTTGGTCTGACACCTGGCTGGACTTGCATATCATCGATTCAGAGCAGAAACTCTTGTCCTGTTCTCAATTACCCGTTCCTTTCCTTTCTTCTCATGATCTCATCAAATTATCGTACGATATCCAAACTCCCACGTTTCTTCCTAAAACCATAACTTTCCGCAATCTTGACAACCTCACCCGTGATAAAATCCTACCGGACCTTGAAACCCTAAACTGGAACGATATTTATTCCTGTACCTCTATTGATCATATGGTAGACATCCTCACTTCTAATCTTATCCATATTCTTGACATACATGCTCCTATCAAAACCTCAACCTTCCGTCGCCAACCTGCTCCTTGGATGTGTCAAGAAATCCGCGACATGCAAAAGAGACGTGAGGCAGCCCGTAGACGCTTCAGACGAACTCGACTAGCAGATGACTATCAAGTCTATAGGGTACTCCGTAACTTGACACAAACAACGATCAGGAAAGCGAAATCAAACTTCTTTCACGAAACTCTCGCTTCTGCTCCTGATTCTAAATCAATATGGCTAACCCTTCGTAAACTCTCTCTTTGTAAATCCTCTTCCTCACCGTTCTACCCGGTATCACCCGATGAACTAAATTCCTACTTTATATCTTCCACCACCAGCAACAGTTCACCCACCTCTCACCAGTCATCACCCTCATTTAACAGTGACAATTTCTATTTCTCCAACATCTCACCGACCGACCTTATTTCCTCTATAATGAAATCACACACAAACTCCATCGGACTTCTCCAGGGTTCGAGCATTTCCCCTCTCCTTTTCAACTCCTACATAAATGATCTTTCCAAATCCATCTACCACTGTTCACATCATTTATACGCTGATGACACCCAAATATATTTTTCCTTTCATCCTTCTGAGCTACTAGTCGCGTTCGCCAATATTCAGGCTGACCTAGATAGGATCAGTGCCTGGGCAAGTCTGAATAATTTAAATCTAAATGCGATGAAAACTCAGGCCATTATTATAGGTTCCAGTCCTATTCTTAAATCCATCTCCTTCCTTCCTCCATTAGTCATCAACGATCATCCTGTCACATTCAGTTCATCCGTTAAAAACCTAGGAATCACCATAGACGAAAACCTCTCCTGGAAACCCCATATTGCCCTCATCTCCCGTAAGTCTATAGATACCCTTAAGCTATTTCATCGCTCCCGCCACCTACTCCCACAACCCATCCGCAAGCTCCTTGTATCCTCTCTCATTTTCCCCCACTTTGACTACGGCTGTGTGGTGTACGGAGGCATCCCGATGGTACTCGAGGATAGATTGAAGCGACTCATGAATACGTGCTTAAGATTTGTCTTCGGTACATCAAAGCGATCTCATGTGTCCCACCTTTACGACGAGTTAAAGTGGCTCTTCCCTTCTTTCCGCAGACAATATTTCCTCGGATCTTTCCTATTCCAAACAATCAACACTAGACACCCTTCTTACATCTACAGTCTCCTACAGTTTAAACCCGTGGTCCACTCCCAGAAAACAAGATCCCGTGTTTCCGACCTTTATATCCCTTCCCATAGAACTAAGACGTTTGAATATTCCTTTATTTCCCGATCCACAGCCTTCTGGAATTCCTTGCCATCTGAAATCCGTCATGCCTCTTCCTTGTCCTCATTTAAATATCATCTTTACCAATTCCTTCTCACATCCCAAAATGACGTTATACAATAAAATAAATATTGTGAAACAGATTTTGACTGAGGTGAATGATTGATAAAATTTATTGTCTTAATTTTAAAAATCAACCCATGCTTATTTTATTTTATTTTTATCTTCATTTAAATAATGTTGTTTTTTTTTATTTCGTTTTTTCTCAAAATTTTATTTTATTTTTACTTGTTTTAATTTAATTTCACTGAAGATACTGTATATATTCTTTAATATTGATTAATGTAATTTTTGGCCAGATGTAGTTTTAATTTTTTTGTTCATATCTGTTATTAATAAGGGACCTTGTCCCAGAATAAAGTTTACTTTCTATCTATCTATCTATCTATCTATATATATATATACAAAATGCATTCAAAACTATGTTTAAAACTAGATTTAAATATTAACTGAGGCAATTTGAGGAGACATTGATTTATTTAAATAGGCTGGTAAATAAAAGTAGTTTGATGTAGACCAACCAGATTTTTTTTAAATGTTAACAAATCTTTTAATTCTTCTTGATGACGACAATAATATTTTTAAAAATGTCATTTATTAGTAATTATCAACATTTCGACAATTATACATCTAAAGAATAGACATAGTACCCAACCACAAAAGATGTAACATTAAAACAAAACCAGATATGAAATGCTCACAACGCACAATAGGTTAACACACTAAATATAAAAAATGTCTTAGGACTTCGCCGATAACAAAAATAAATCGAGATACAACTCGTCGTCGGTATTTTGGTTTGCCCACTTTGCTTGGATCAAAATTTCGGTCATTGCCGGAATCGGGCGATTTAGCGTAACAGATACAAGCGGCCAATACACACAACCCTTTGTTGCACGGGACGGGATCCCGGGGTGTTTGATCCTTTGTTGGCGAAATGTGTTTAATTCTTTGCCTCGGGATTGTATGCCATTGTATGCTTGATCAATTTCTTTTGTCCAACCTGTTCCTACCTTTGTTGGGCGGTATCCATTGTATTGGGACCTCCGCTCAAAGATATCTTCCTGGAACCAAACTAGAATATAGTTTAACACCTGGGGTAGTGGAAGGCTGAATTCGATTCCAGGAGCTGACACAAATCGGGTTAGTATGCTCTTGATATTTAATTTATTTATATTAAATATAATTTGGCTTACAAGTAGTAATGGCCACCATAATAAATACAAAGGTGGACAAGGTTAGTTCTAAGAGCTATAAGATCTGTAAAAAAAAAAAATAAAATAAATAAATAAAAATAAACCTCTCTCTCTCTCTCTATCTCTCTCTCTCTCTCTCTCTCTCTCTCTCTCTCTCTCTCTCTATATATATATATATATATATATATATATATATATATATATATATATATATATAAGAATAATAATAAAAGGCTTAGCGAACCCGAATGTTCGATGCCGAAACCAACAATCGCTTATTACACACGTCCCTCCACCGTTTGTCGTCCAAACCTAGTCCTTTCAGATCGGCTTTAATGCAATCTTCCCATCTTCTCTTCGGTGTACCCCTCGGAGGTTTATCATTCGGTACAGCAAATATTAACCTTTTAGGAATTCTCTCGTTACTAAGCCCAATTATTTTACAAGCCCGATTGGTTTGCCGAGATGAAATCACCTCAATTATACTACCCGGATACAGTTCACGCAATTCGGCGTTGTGTAACCGTCCGAACTTCCATTCATCTTTCTTCGTTCGAATATTCTACGCAATACTTTATTTTCAACAACCTTAGAACGTTGCTGATCCTTAGTCATCCATGTAAAATGTAAGCGACCACGTTTCGCATCCATAAAGAACTGTAAGTAAGACATTGGTCTTATAGACTCTAATTTTTAAGTTCCGGGACAAGAGGCGCAAGCTAAGTAGTTTTGTCATAGAAAAATAACAAGCATTTCCCTCCTTCAATCTAACTTTAATCTCTTCTTCAATTTCGTTTTTTCTAGTTATCGTAGACCCTAGATACCTAAGATTTTGCATTCAAAAGTTTATTTAGGCAATTATGTTTAGTAAAGTATATCTCATATCATGGAAAACAAGAAATAAATGCTTTGCAACAATTTATTTTAGTCAATTTTTCTAAAAACATGGGTACTTAAGTGTGACAGGGTATAAAAAATCACGTTAATTTTTTACTCAACTTGAGTTGAATCTCAAATCTTTTACTAATAAACTTCAACTTAATTAATACAGACTTAAAGGTTAATAAGAGGCAGTTTTTTTTTCTAAAAGAGGGAAAATGATTTTTTTTAAAAGAACTTATCTTAGCCCAGTCGCTCAAAAGTCCTATTTAAACTGTTTTAACGATGACAAACTCTACTTCTATTTGAAGTAAATCTGGCCTACTTTACATTGAAATAATTATTAATTACCTAAATTAAATATTTCTTTAGCTATCGCTGTCTATTCAACAAAAAACATGACACTTAAAAACCACATAACTTAAATTTCTGCCGTAAATCCGCCCAATGTTCATATAAACCTTTTCGTAGCTCTCGTGGTCTACTATGGCTCCTTGCCAGACAGATTATTTTAAAATATTATTTTTCAGATAAAATATTCAATTCAAACATCTTTCTGCCTGGCCTTGCTGTCCTCCAAAACCTAAGGCTTCGAAGGACTGCACTAAATTCCAGTCATGTGCTGGAATGCGAGCTCTGGAGCGGGTTGCTATGCAGGAGATAGCCTGGCTCTGATTAGCCATTGAGCTTATTGCAACTGTACTCGACTACGTGATCCGTAAGCGGCTCTCTGTCTGCAATTGGATCATCTTCTCCTTTGTTGAGTTTTTTATGGTGGCAGAGTATAGTCAGAAGGTACCAACATTTTGATACTTTAATGGGCCTGCGAATGTAAAACAATTTCGAGAAAAGGAATTTCAGATATTTTTTGTCATATTAGTATATATAATACACCGAGTGGCTCATTGTAGCTTCGACACGAATTCCTCTCACATCCGATTATATAAAGCACATTTAGCAATTTAATATAGACGGATCCCCATAGCAGACTGAAACGACTTGAAACCGTCCGACATTTTCGACCACTGCAGCACTTACTAGACAAACGCTTTAAACTTCCAACTATTTACAAAAGACTCATTTATTTATTACTACAATAAGGCCTATTTGGACTTACGAGATCGAGCTTTGGGGCTCTACTAAACCATTAAATTCCTCTCGTATCCAATCCCTACAATCCAAAATCCTTCGTAAAATCCTCAATGCTCCCAACTTACTTTGTCACAAATAAAATCATCCATAACGGCCTTAATGTACCATATGTTTCCGATTTAGCTCAATCCAGATACCTACCTTTCCATAATAAAGTTCTGAACCATTTGAACCCTCTTGTTTCTAACCTTGCTTCCTCCTCTATTCCTGATAACCCTCCGAAGCGTCTGAAAAGAAGATGGCCTCGGGACCTTCTAATATAGAAATATAATTGGAGTGCTACCAATGGATAGTTTCTCTTCATGTTGTACATGTCATGTTACTCATGTCACATTTACTTGTTGTATTTATCATTATACAGTTGTAAATTTCAATAATAAAAAAATAAAAATATATAGACGGTATTCAATGATGAAGTTACAATGACAGTTTCAAAGTAATTACATAATTAAATTTACAAATACATATAACTTGGACGTGAAACACATTTGCGAATGTTTATTTTTCAGCTAAGCTGGAAGAACTGAAATTTTGGTAAAATTCTTCCAAGTATTTTATTTAGATTTATTTGACGCCGTCAAATATATAAAAAAATCTGATTGAACAAACTTACAGGAAGCTTCATATGTCTGCAAATAATTTAAAAAATGAATTTCTACCACACCAAAGTCAGAATGCATTTCGGGTTCTCTGCTTCTGAAAATTTAAATATAACAACTTCTCATAAAATTCTTTGTTCACTTACTGGGGCTTCACTAAACCATTAATTTTCTATCCTTTATAATGCTTAAAATTTTAAATCCTTCGTAAAATCTTCAATCTTCCTTATTTTGTTACAAATAAAATCATCTTTAATGTTAATTATGTTTCAGATTTGGCCCAATCCAGATAGCTATATACATACCTATAGTGGGTAGTTTCTCAAAATATGTTTTCATTTCATCATATCCATTTGTACAAATTTACTAGATGTATTTTTTTAATTCAGTCGTAAATATCATGAATAAATTAATTTTTTTTTACTTTTAAAGAATGTCTTTTTACTTAATAAAAAAAAAATTAATATTGCAATATTACTAAATGTTGGAGCATAGAAAATTTTAAACGATAAAAAATCAAATCAACTGTAAATTGATCATATTTGGTCAAATTCACTCACGTTTTTACGTCGCTTTCGGGAGACTTAAATATTAAATAAAATGATTTTTTTTAAACATTAATGACTTACTTAAACTTTGCAGTTTTGTTCTTGAAAGAAATAAATTTCTTTAAATTCTTAAACATTAAAGTAAAACTCATTTCGGAAGATGATATATAAATATTTTTTACAACAACTCTCGAATATATAAACAAAACAGAACAAAGCATATTCTACCCTAAAATAGTCTATATTTTATTTGATTGTAAAGAACATTGTTTTGTTTTTTTTCTGTTTATTTTTACTAACGATAAATTTAATAAGTTTTATTTGTAATATGTTGTATATATAAAAAATCTATTGTTGAAGGGTACACACCCAAGCAATTTTAAATATTTTAGTTGTGAAAATATGACATGATCTATAAAAAAAATAAAAATAAAATAAAAAATGTTTTGTAACTATGTGAATATAGTGACAATCTTTTATCTATTTAGAACTTTAATTAAAAAATATATATATTTCCATGGTACCCTATTGTATAGGCAGAAGAAATGGTGGAGAAACTTTTCTTACTTTACTTGGCAGTCTCTTTTCTACTTATTCTAAATAAAATTCCGCATTATTGATTATGATTCAATGCTTTGGAATAAACTGACGGACTAAAAAAATAATGTACATTGACTAAAGTAGTATCTAACTTTCTTTTTAAAATAAAAAGTCAAAATATATGTTATTTCTAATAGAATATTTTAGATTCGACTTGAAACGTATTTCTAAACATAACATAACTAGTTAAATATTAAAAAATATATACGATAGTATCAAATAAATAGAAAATAGGATTTGTTGACATTTAAACTCCAATAAATTGTATTAAAAATTTAGGGAAAAAACTCAAAAGCCTTATTAGTGTCAAGAATCCTACAATGGCTCAGAACTCCAGTTCACTGCCGCTTGCCATTCTTCGTCCTCCATCGTCTTTCAACCAGTCAGCTCCTCAGGTAACACAACATCCTTTTTCTCCTTTTCTCACGGATTTTCCCATTCAAATATTTTTTTAGAAATCCACACCCTGACATCCTTTCTACTTATGTCTCCTTTTCAAGCTACTGATGCTCTAAGCTTAACATTTCAAATGTTGTTTTCATGTATTTGACATATTCTTATCATAGGATCGTTATGGAATACGCCTAATTCAAAACACCTCTATTGGAAACGTAAATAGATTTCGACAACTGACAATAATCACTGTGGATACTTTTTTAATTATCCTGATGTTGTTTCCAACAAATTAGTGAAAAGATTCATCCAGAAATTTGTATTTTTAGCTTGTAGAAATAATGAAGAATATACGTAAATATTATAATAAGGAGGAATATGATGTTTTCAGATGACTTTTTTCCCTGCCGTTTAACGCTGTGAGATTTGGAAAGTTTAAGTAAGTAATCTATGATGAAGACCTATAGATGAGAATAGGTTTTGGGAAATATGAATACATATAAGAACGGCAACGACGGTGCAAATAGAATGGAGATCGGGACGATATAAATATATTTTTAAATGATAGCATAAAATTGACAGAAATAATAGAGCATTTTTTCATATACCCAAAGATAACTCCATTTTATTTTAGAGGAAATCGGGTCCTAAGAATAATGAAATGACAAATGTTATAAGCACTGATTATCTAGTATCTATGATATTTAGTGTCGCCCAAATTCTGCAGTTACCTCTTAGTTTAATGCTATTTAATAAACATGTTGCTTTAGATCTTAGAAATTACTACAAAATAGGTAGGTACATTTAGATGTTTTATTGACATAAACATATTAAAACCAAATTAATAAAATTAACTTGGCAGCGTGAAAAATTAAAGGTATTTTCAAGAAATACAGTGGGTAATAGGCCCCACCTTGGAATAGAAGATTTATAGAATAAAAACGTTTTATACAAGACCACCAATTATTTAAATAAAATATCTGGCGTGTCTACTCACATGACATTTCTACCGATTTCAAACTTTTTTTTTTCTTCAATTTTAAATATATTCATTAAAAATAACACAATTAAATTAGATTAATTTTCCTGATAACCGATCAGAGAAATCATTAGAAATTTCTTTCATGAATTAAAGTAATGTAAACGGGCAAATAAACAATTATTAAAATCAGTGCATAAAATTTAATACATTGTAACGCTGCTAAAACTGGTCCAATTTAGATGATTTTTTATAGTTATATCGAACATTAGTAACTAAAATTGTATGGCATTAGTAACTATTTTTACTTAATGTTTATTCACAAAAACATTTTTTTTTTTGTTTTACTATTCTTGGTTTTGGTCTTGCAACAATATGCAAAGTACAAGACCAAGACCGATTTCGGGCAACACTAATATTATTAATAGTTCCAATAAATAAATACAATCTCAGCAAGAGTAACTAGACTTTCAGAAAATAGATGATGTTGACAGAAATTTATGATCCAGGCAAACATAATGACGATCGTTGAGATAACAGAAAGGATTGCTTACTATATTATAGAAAAAAACATCATGATTCTTTATTATTTTAATCCATAAAAAGGATAGCTAATTAAGAAAAGAATGACATTTCTTTATAAAATTGTGATTTTTGTGGGTATGCCATATCGCGTCAAATCCAATGGTTGAGTCATTATTTTAATAAACTTAAATTCACAACTCCAGGAGCAGGAAATAAGTACATACCCCAAAAATGTTTAATTTTATTTTAAAAAATTATACAATTTATATATTATACCTACAATAATTTATTTATTTAGAAATTTATATAACCTCATATTCCTTTTTTTCTGTTTTACATTCGATTCTAAGATTCCCATTTTAATGCTTATGTCACCTTTTTTGATTATGTTTACTTCATCATTCCACACTTTGTAACGGTTATTATTATTTATCTCTTAGTTCTTAATATCGTCATTATTCTACCAACTTCATTTTACTTAAATTTTTTTACCTACATTACTCATGTTTCTCATACTTTGTTATCTGGTTCTTTTATTAGCCCTGATGAAGGCCTGAACTTCAGGTCGAAACGTTGGCGAAATGTCAAAATAAATATTATCATTTATTTTTGCCTTCTTATTTCTGACTGATCATCCCAACTATTCTTCTCTTCATTATTCACGACAGTCAACCATTTACCCACAATTAGAAATATAATATTCTGCCACGTGGATCGTAATTATATGTAATATGAACACATAATGAAACATATAATTAAAAATGTTTCCAAACTCCAAATAAAAATTGACAAAAAAACATCCAAATCAAACTATTTTTAGCAATGATACAAACTATTACAATTTGTTAATAGACCACGTTTTCTTCTATTATTTTAAATGAAAATTAATTTTTCATAATGCATTGCATTTACTTAGCTCTATATTGTGTTGTAGGGCCGGTATAGCAGAGTGATTAGAGCACTATGTGAAGTAAGGAACATAGGATCGAATCTCGGCCATACTACCCACTACTGTTGTCCCCGCGG